AATCAAAATCTCACCTGCCGTTGTCTGTTCCTGTGGAGAGGTGGAAGATCCGCACCATGCAAAATTTTTTCAAAATGAAAATATGAGTTACTTACTTGAATGCCCAGGAGAGACCATTAAACCTAACGATAAACAGTTGCTGTGGGTGGGAAATGCTGCATCTAACACTAAGCCAACCCTTCCTCAATTGATGCGTCTCCAAATCCCAGAAAAAGTTGGAGTAAACTACAAAGCATTCGGGACATTTATTCTCAAAGACAATGACGGCTGCCAAGTTACTAATATGAAGGCCTGTAGTAGTAATCCAGAAAATATTGTCGTCGATATTTTAGAGAAATGGCTGCAACAGATGCCCACTCCAGTGACTTGGGGAAACCTAATACAAATCTTGCGACAAACGGAACTCAATAAACTTGCTGACGATGTGGAAAGAAATCACAGAGATATAGCTTTCAGTTGAACACCTTCACTTTGGACTCACTTGCGAAGCTGTGAACTTTACAAACTATGCACACTTCAATGCACTTCACACTTGAACATGAAAATTCCTACTGGGTAAGTGGCGAAGCGCTACACATTTGACCGTAATTCCCAGACCCTGGACCCAAGAGGGTCTGGGAACGTATTATCAATGTTTACGTAATTCGAAAATCACGCTCTTGCTCACGTTCGCCTTTATAGACCTAAGCGAAAAAAGCCCAGGATCAACGTCATTGCAGTCCAAATGCAGCCAACACTCAAAATGAACCTGCTCTAGCTCACCTATAAACCTTCGTACACCTCCAGACTCATAAAACACCACTTACACACATAAATCATTTCTGGCAGCATTTTCTCTAAGACAGAGCTTACAAAAGATACCAAGAGCATCACGGCACCACTGCAACTGTGTGAACGGTATCTCGGAAGTGTTCTAGAGCATGCTAAACTGTCTACATCTCCAGCTCTACCCTGCTATAATATAGCTTTAAAATTGCGTTCGCTAGGCAAATATTCAAACGTGCATCACGTGTTACATGCATGACAAAGGAAATTCTGCAATCTGATTGGACCTCCCAAACTGTTCTCCAGTGCAGGGAAAATCAACCAAAGTTCTCAGACGGCCTTTTCGCGGGGCGGGCTGGGCATGAGTCTTAGTCAGTGCAGGGCAAACAGGCTTTACTCGTGGCTAAATTTACAACCACTCACCAATGTGCTACATGACCATGTCCCGCAAAAGCTTGTAGAAAATTCAATCCATGCGCCTTTGAGAAACGCAAAAGCTTACTTAAACATAAGGCACAGAGATGATAATGATAACCAACTGCACCAGAAATTGTGTCAATGGGTGAGCATAGTGAGTCGTCTGAATGCTAGATGTTTCCTATCCAAGTAACTAGAGTGAATGGAGTTTTTTTTTCTGTTAGCATGTATCATTGGATGACATTGGCTCGCCCGTGATGGTTGGACAGCCCTCATCTGGCCCCTGAGTGGACGCCCTGCGCCTAAGCTAAACTGTCTACATCTCCAGCTCTAGACAGCTAGCTTTAAAATTGCGTTCGCTAGGCAAATATTCAAATATGAATCACGTGTTACATGCATGACAAACGAAATTCTGCAATCTGATTGGACCTCCCAAACTGTTCTCCAGTGCGGGGAAAATCAGGCAGCCGTTTCGCGGGGCGGGCTGGGCATGAGTCTTAGTCAGTGCAGGGCAACTGGCTTTACTCGTGGCTAAATTTACAACCACTCACCAATGTGCTACATGACCCATGTGCCCGCAAAAGCTTGTAGAAAATTCAATCCATGTTCCTTTGAGAAACGCAAAAGCTTACTTAAACATAAGGCACAGAGATGATAATGATAACCAACTGCACCAGAAATTGTATCAATGGGTGAGCATAGTGAGTCGTCTGAATGCTAGATGTTTCCTATCCAAGTAACTAGAGTGAATGGAGTTTTTTTTCCTGTTATCATGGCTAGTGCTGTTACAAACTTTTTCGTAGCACTTGTAAATGCGCTGAATTTTTGCACTCTCACGTTTGCTCTCCACAATAAATGGCCCTGCCAAATAATAGTATTATGCATGCAGCATTATCGAATGACAATTCAAGAGGTTACCAATGATAAGTCAAAAGCAAGTTTGAAGAATACTAGCAACTGTCAGTATGGAGCTTTGCCTGGGGTTGGTAGGTTCAACGGAATGTGATGAGTCTTCCTTTGAAAAATGTCGAACCCTCAGTAGGAGAAAAGTATTTTACGTGTTGATTCACACATTAGCTCCTGTGACCAATGCGTTAATCAAGAAAACACAGAATCAGTTAGCATTTTTATAGACTTGGGTTCACCCCATATCACCTCATTAGGCTACACCTCATGTTATGGGTGCTGGCCCACGAGACAAGTCCACATACTGACCAGACACTCCAGGGCCGGGTGGACCTGGACTCCGCCCACTGGGGTCTTTGGGGGTGGAGCGGAGGAAATGTTGACATTCTGGCGAGTTGGTAAATCATGCAAGGGTTTTGCACCCTTAACCCACCAATTCGTGACCTTTGACCCTACTACCTTGCACAATTGCATGTAATACCTTCACGTGCCCCTGCAATCATTGAAATTGGATACCAACACCATGAAAGGGGTGCCTAACCTTCATAAAGCCTTAGTAGAAGAGCTTGTCTCATGACAATGACCCTTTCAATCAAGAATAACTATTGTTTGACACATAGTAAGGCACTAGAGACAAAAACTAGCCATTGCTAGCGACAGACGCCTTGGTAGCCTGGTGTATGTCTTGCATGCTGCATTTTTCTATCAGCTCAATGTTTGAATCTTCTTCCCCCTTTTGAGTCGCTGTGGTAACACCACCATTTCTAAAGCTGTGACCATTGAAGTCAAAGAGGTTCAGCGTATAATTATAGCATGCTGGAAATGCTTGATGTAGCTTAGCCACAAGTGATGCTCGTGTAAGACAAAACTCCTAAATCGATTCAGCTGCAGGCACCGGGCCATGTATTCATTGGATGACATTGGCTGCCCGCTGATGGTAGGACAGCACCTCATCTGGCCCCCTGAGTGGACGCCCTGACCCCTAAGTGTTAAAGGGGTGTGTCTAGTTACAGTTACATTGTAAGGGTGGTTTATTAACCCTCGGCGTGCATGAGCAGTGAGGGTTATGGTAGTCGTTCTGTGTGTGTGTCTGTCTGTCTGTTATTCTGTTAAAGCTGAAAACTTTAGATGCAGGCTTCTCCTTGTGTATGTCATCTACCCAGATCAAGTGTAGGAGGTTACGGCTATTGATTGCAATAATCTTCTCTACGTCAGCTGTTAGGGCAATTCTATATGATCAGAAGGGTAGCAAGTGGTTGAGGATAAGTTGCATGAAACTTCTGCAGACAGTCGTTGAGCGATGGACCATCTGACTTGGCGGAGGCATCATAGACAATACGTAACTTGGTAGTGGTGTTGTCTTGACGTACTACCTCAGATTGAGATAGGCAGTTTACTCGATCGGAGTGAGGTTCCTGCACTTGGACGGCTGCGATAACCATCTTTCTTAATCGATCTCAAAATGGTGCTGTCATATTCCTTCAATATGCCTGGGTTATTGTTGAGTCACCACAGTAGTCCTTGAGAGTCATGTGATAGTTGTTTGGTAGAACTCCTTTCATGGCAGTGAAACCCTGTATCAACAATCTTGAAACGCGACATTGATTGCTGGAAAAGTCGTCATACAGAGTCTTCTCCTTGTGTGAGTGACTCTGGCTCCCAAAAAGAATTCGAGTTGCTGATCTAGAACTGTGTTTTCTGAGGCACGTGTGTCACTCAGAAGGGAGTGCATGTGTGGTGGTCATGTTCATCCAACACTTTACTGAGTCCTGTGCAGGGGCTGGACCTGACAATACCAACCCAATGTAGTATGAACAGCAGTTAGTCCCCCCCATCACCCCTGCAAACACTCCAATGACATGTCGACCTGCAGACTAGTAGCCCCATCACCCCTTTCGTTCAATGCATGATGTCATTGGCAGACGAACCAGTTAGGACAACATTCAGCATGAATGTCATAGGTTAGCAATCCAATTGCATTCCCACAGGTACAAGTTCCCCTTGTATTTGTATTCGTCTGACTGCATGCTTAATTTGCTCTCTGCTAGGCTCCAATAACAGTATAAGAACACAGTCTTCCTCATGTCAGGAGCCATTTCTGGCAACTGTAGGTGTGTACGATGGTGCTTCAGGGTTGAGTCTAGTAAGTGTAGGGTCTTTTGGCATCTCTGATAAGGCAGGTTGTGCCGGCCCTTACACCGTTGGCATTTGCCTGACAATCGACAGTTGCGTCCAACCTGGCCTTTGTGTAGACAGTTGAAACGACTGCTGGTTCTCAGAATTTGCTTGCGTGTGCTGCTACTGGCTACTGAGGTATATACAGCGTACTGATGGGTGAGCTTGTTGAGAGTAGCAACAGATCATACCAGACCCTGGATCTTGAGTCGGAGGCTTGCTCTCTAGCTCCCAGCTCTTTCTCGAAGGCCTTGTGTAGACTATTCATGTCTATATATATATCTGATCGGAAGATGCGATCTCTGCATACTCTAAGGTCCAGAGGCATTCACAAAAAAATACTACTACTCCTCCGAAAGAATTTTGTCACTTAGCACTACTTCCACACTAGATAGAGTCCGGACACTTTTTTTGTCAATACACAGAGTAATAGGCAGTCTAGAGTGTAATTGTGGGCAGCAAATTTAAGACTATGTATGCCCGTGCACCTTGTAGTGGCCAACCCACAACCAGTGTCCAGGGATCACTATAAACTAGAGCATGTCCTTGAAACTACAAACATAGTGTGCATAATTGAGAATCCTATACTATATACATCACCCTCCATGCAAATGATGTGTGTGTGTAGGTATGGTACATGAAATCAATGATACTTTGTGCTACGTACGTACATCTCCCATGTATGTATGGAACGTGGAGTGTGAAACCAATATTGTCTGCCGCCCTCGATATGCAGGTTATTGACAAAATGAGAATCAGTGTGTTTGTGTCTAGTCAGAAATCACATGTTTACAGTTGAGATGAAGACATGTACTTGTACACTGAAGGTGACATAATGGTGATGTCATTGACCAGGGCAAAATGGATTAGTTTCAGAGGGTCTCATTGAGTCCAGGGTATGGTTCACCTCTCTGTGGTGACCCTCATCAGCTCTAATTGCCAGGAGATCCCTCATCATTGCATCAGCCTACATCATAGAGAGAGCAATAACATTAGCATCATGTGTAAACACAGTTTTTTTGTGACATTTGATCCATGATGCAATAGTTGTGGTCTATTTCTGATTGACATGAACAGGAAGTGGACTCCGACCTCCACTTCCAAGTCATGTGGAGTCATGTACACACAGGCTTACAGGCAGTCTCCAGTAGCAGAGAGCAATCTGAGGAGCTTTTGTATTCTCCCACATGTAGGTATGGTGGATGGAGTGATACATACGTACATCTCACATGTATGTCTAGAACGTGGAGTGTGAAACCGATAATATTGTACACCACTCTCAATATGGACAAAATGAGAATCAGTGTGTTTGTGTGTATATAGTCAGAAATCACATGTTATGCAGATGAGACGAAGACATGTACTTGTACACTGAAGTGACATAATGGTGATGTCATTGACCAGGGCCAAATAGATTAGTTTCAGAGGGTTTCATTGAGCCTAGGATATGGTTCACCTCTCTGTGGTGACCCTCATCTCATCAGCTCTAATGGCCAGGAGCACATCCCTGCATCACCCAACATCATAGAGAGAGCAATAACATTTCCATCATGTGTTTGTGTGCCATGATGCTTATTGACACGAACAGGAAGTGGACTCCGACCTACACTTCCAAGTCATGTCAAGTCATGCTTACAGGCAGTCTGCAGTAGCAGACAGCAACCTGAGGAGCTTTGGTATTCTCCCACATCTTCAGCTCCCCCTTGTCCAGACTCTGCAGTGTGCACAGTACACTCTAGTGGGCTGCTTGCTCACTAACAGAGCTGGTTATCAATCAAGTGTCATGTAGAATGGAGTATGTACCTCAATGCAGTGAGTGTAGGTCTTGACTGCCTCTTCCTCCAAGTAGCCAACAAACTTGTGGCAAAATCTGGGACTGAGGAAATATGCTATCCAGAACATACTCACAAACAGACCTGGGAAGGAGAGTACATAGGACAAATCCCTCAGTAATCACAAGCTAGAGTTAAAATAATATAGGGTTAAAAGTAAATAACCCCAATTGATTGCCCTGGTAAAGTACACACTTCAGGGAATCTCTAAGCCATTTCTTTCAGTGGCTCACCCTGTGTTCCAATGACGGCAATCTCGAAGAGAGGTCCAGGTCTCCTCAGCTCCAGAGCTGTGAGGAGGTGCATCCTCTCATTCTCTGCCTCCTTCAGCAAGGTGTGTATCCAGCCATGGTCCCGAGTCATGAGCCGCAGAGACTTCAAGTGACGCACCATCGCACCTTTCATGACCTGGAGACATGTCAGTGCTACGTAGACGTGAATATTACTGTTTCCCATGAAACCACTGCATTCGAGAGTTTTGCATGAAACACAAGCAAAAGAGCCATTAGCATAGGTAATGAGCAATGGCTTACCTCGACCGATTTTAAAACACCGTGGAGGGCACAAAGTTACTCGTAAGATGAGTATCCCGTCTAGTATTGCTCCACACACTACTCACTGGTGCTACTAGACTCTGTTGAAACTGAGTGAACGTGTGGCGTGGCCCTGCCAATTAATCATTGTGTACATTGCCTCATTTGCGCCGAGGGTTTTGACTTTTAGGTCTTTGGTTGGTATAAAATACCAATGTTTTTGTAGAGAAGTAGCCAGCATTCCCAGACAAACATGAGATGGTGATCTGTCTTCCATCACCTGTTGTCCTTTACTGTTGCACTAGTGAAGTTAGTGTGTATACTGGCAAACATCATCAAGGCAAAACCATTTGCCAAACCATTGTACTCCAGTGTAAGTGATCGTTGTCATGACTGTAGAGGAAGAAGAGAGGAGAACTAGAGTCAGAGTTGGAGAAGTGTAAAGATGAGGAGAAGAGGAGAGAACTGGAGAAGAAGATGAGAGATTGTGATGAGGTAACATTACATGACTGTTTTTGATGTCACATTGAGTACAGGCATGCCTGAGTTGTGCAAACACTCTGTGAACCCCATGATACATGTATCTGCTCCGTATGGTTATGACTGAGATGGAGGTTTCTTAAACTTCAGTGTATAAACTACTGGTTGTCTTTCTAAGACTGTACCAAGGCCATGACACTTTTTCGGCCCATCACATGTTGCCTATTAAAGACTGTGTTTTGACTTTATTCTGGACCACTCAGAAAGCGATTAGAGCATCGGGATTTCTGCATACAGTACTCTCCAGCTACAGCAGTTACTTCAGCCATAGTGTGTATCTTCTGTCTTATGCGTAACTATTTCATTAGTGTATCACTTTCTACTCACTTTGTTTTGCTCATTTGTCGTTTATATCCTCACTGCATAGCAAGGAACAGGTGTATTGAAGCACATAAAACAGAGCCAGTCACATGCACATGCAAATACTTTAACTATACCTAGCAAGCAGTGGGTTTACATTAGCCAGCTCTGTTTGAGGAGAAGACGTTATAGAGTCATTGAATCACTCCACATACAAAGATATAGACAACCACAGAGAACCTTTAAACGTGCAGTTGCCATGTTGCCCGGTTCTTTGTGTGGGTCGCCATTTTGTTAGT